CGCCCTAAAGAAGTCGCTGGGCTACATCGCTGCAGCTTGGCCGTGTGAATGACCAGCAGTAGTAAGTTCAGCGTGCAGCACGCCTGGCCGACCTGTCGTGATTGCCAGGCTGCAACAGCACGTGCTGATGACCTTAGCTTGCCACTACTCATCGCAAACACGCGCACGCGCTGTGCGTTGATGCTGGTCGCGGCCGTGGGTGTCCACGTAGCCGCGTGCTAGCTGGCAATCATCGGCTGCCCCGGCTACCCTGCCGCGCCTCGCGTCCCCATACTATGCGTATCGGGGGGCGGGGGTGGATGGCATTTGCCGCTTGATACGATACGGCGTAGTAGCTGAAGAGAGGTTATTGGCACAGATTTACATGCATCGCTGCGCCGTAGTGTGTGTGTGTGTGTGTGTGTGTGTGTGTGTGTGCGTGTGTGTGTGCATCGTCAGCGTGTATCTGTTTTGATGATGGGCAGGCGCGGATAGAGAGCGCAGCTGAAGCTGGCTTTCTCGCTATGTGCGTAGTAGATTGTACAGCAAGTCGCTGTAGAGCATTCACCTGAAGTGCTTTCTCGGCTTGCGTGACCGTATCGAATTCCTGTGTCATGGTGAGCGGGAATCTCAACGGATTCCTACCGTCCAGCAATATCTAATAACGGAGAGGGGGAGAGCGAGAGAACGCGCGCATTGCGCAGTTACTAGTGAAGAAGTAGTGTGGAATGCCACTGAAGTTAGTAGCCTTGGTGTGCGGCGGGGGTTGAGTAGAGTTTGGGTAGGAGGTCCGGGAACGTTGGTTGCATGGAGACATTTGCGCACGGGCCTGGATCCCCCACCCCACAGACACTTCCGCTCCCTCTTTCTCTCTTTGTGCCAACAACATGGGTTTGATGATGCGTGTAACACGCACGGGTATATTAATTAGCTGAAAATGCACGTATGCCCCTGCGCACCCGCTAGAGTGACATGCACTCGTGTTACCTATAATATACACCAAACCTTCAGCAGTCATCACCTCTCTATACAGCAAACCTTCAG